GCCTTAGTAATTCATTGAAATTTTGCTTACCTAATTTGGTTTAAAAATTATATGAAATGATTTCCAATGAATACATCCGTGTCTGTTTTAGCTCTACCACTTCGCTTTCGATATTTTTCGCGGAATATACAGGTTTCACAAAATGCTACTGGTAGAGATCCGTCTTCGATTTTGATGAAACTTAAATATGCTATAAAGCAGGCCCCGATAACCCCGTCTCATTTGCTCAGCTCCGGCTCCCGAGCTTATTTAGTGAGATTTGGGAGAGAGTTTCTATCCACTTAACGAAACTCCCAGCAATAATTGATTCTTTTCCGTTGATTGAGTCTTGGTCAGACCCTAAGGTGACCGTGCTAGTGGGTGAAAATGTTAAACTTCTCATCAATTTGCAATAAAAATATTGATTTTTAATTCAGAAAACATAGCAATATTAGGAAATTTTTTTTGAAATACATCAAATGTTCACATTTGTTAAGTTGAGCGATAACTTTTCCACATAATATGGGACTAATAATTCGTGGATGAATAGTCGTTTTTGAGAAAATGAATATAGTCCTGATAAGAATTCCAAAGGCTGACTATGAGAACAGTGCTGGGAAAGCCTCAGCTCACTAAGTCTGAGTGACTCGAGCCTGACTCCGCCTGATTTAATCCTTTTCTAAGGCTTGATTTGACAATGCGTTACGAGGCTATTGGCATGGCATTTGAGCCCTGGCCCAAACTGAGAAGCAAGAGGCTGAAGCGACCAAGATCACTCCCCCCGTAGGCAGGTCTCAAAAGTGAAACAAGTGGGGAATGCCATTATAAGGAACTGCGTATAGCTGTTGTTGCCAAGAAATTAGCAACACGCTTTTGAATGGACTTCCCTCTCTGAGGAATTGATGGAAAATCCTCAAGTTATCGTTGAAAATCAATTTTCGAAAAAATACGAATATTTCCGAATCTTTCTGCTGATTTCAATTCCAATTGGTGTCAATGGAGGGAGCGCATGGTCTATTCACAGGAAAATTCATGAGATTCTATTGATCCGTTGCAAAGAAATTTTTCAAAAATGAAAAAAAAAAATTCCGTGAAAAATTACGGATTTTTCTGAATCGTCATGGATATTTCAACATTAATCAGTGTCAATAGATAGAGCTTCCAAAAGTCTATTTCAGAAAATCATGGTATGCCATCAATCCCTGGTGCAGAAAAAGAGAGAGAGACAAAAAAATAGTAAAAAACACGTACCCACACACATACATACGTCCATATATGCGTACAGACACCATCTAAAAATCCCATATTTGTAATTTTTAGGCTACATTCAATTACCGTAACACAAAGCAAAAACCTGAAACATGAAATTTCTTAAAGTCTAACTTTCAAAAAATCAACTTTTCCGGCTATCCAAACCTCATCCTCTTCGTACTTGTCACTGTTTTTAAGTGGCTGACGTTTTCACTGTCTCATTTACAATACGTATTTGCTTGCTCCGAGACGGCGCTGTAGGGATGACTGGGCATTATGCAGGCCATGAATGGAGTGGGGATGATGCTTAACTTTATTGGCAGAGTTAGGTCTTAAACCATATATTTTGTCAATTCCAGCAACGGAAGTGTTATAACGTTATAACGACGTTTAGAATTAAGCTAAACTCGGGCGGTTTCACGACGAAACAATTATCGGAAAACTCCGGCAATGATCGGGACCTATTGGTCAACGGTCACCAGCCGAAATCTCCACTCATCTTCGAAAATTCACTCCACTCGACACGACTTCATCATCGACACTCGACGCGACAAGACTGTTATCGACGCTCACCGTGAAATTATCGCAACTCACCCCGTAAAATCACCGCGTACATCAACTAATTGTACATCAACTCTAAACTCAACCATACCGTATATCAACATAAATCAACCAATTAATGGACGTGTAAATAAGTGTAACCGCATTGAGATTGACCACGAGTTTTAATCAATTAACAATTCGTTGTGCCGTATAATCTCCGCGTATTACACATTATACAACCTCACCTCACAAATTTTCTGAAACTCTCCGATACACCCTAATCAACGCAACGTTCACCTGACGAAGACCTTTTCCTTATGGAAGTACGCCGTCAGATCCGCGAGTTTTAATAATTCTGAAATATATGGGATTTCCAGCAGAGCTGGAAACTGCACGCTTCCGTTGTGTCTGATAACTTCCGTTGCTGCATTGATGAAGTTTTCTGGCGACATGATCGACGGGTGCAACTGCATTAGATATGGCTAGGGTAATTTTTCACCACCATTGGGTAACCTTTCCCCTAGTATTTCCTCCGCCTCTTTCCCCCTTGCCCTCTCCCCTTGAAAGAAAAAGAAGAACAGAACATGCTTCGCCACGATCCCTCTGAACCACATAACAAAGAGAAGTAATTGCCTCCGATTAGCCCCTGATTATTCCCGAAAATCGGGGAAGACGAGCGGTTAAGCGACGGCCATCACTCCTGTATCAGCTACCCCAAAAACTGAAGTATTGTATAGAAGAGTGATTTTGGAGGAAGATTTTTGGAGCAATATTGTGTGGAAATCTTGGAAGGAAAGAAGAAGGAGAGCCAGAAAAAAGATCAGACGAGAACGAGAAGAAGCTGTTCGTCGCCATCACCTGTGGTGAGTACCATTATACTCCTGCTCCAACGCAAATCCCCTGCCCGACGAAATCCTGTCAACGGTAAGCCTCATTTGTTAATAATTTTTCTAACAGGCCATCTTGGTCAGCGGTGTTTCCTTTTGGGGTTTCCCCAGCATAATTCCTGCATACAACCCCAGTTTCTTTCCATTTTTTTCCATTTAAAGTTGACCCAGTAACTTCTACCCCCCCCCCCCCCCCCGTTTCTTTCTATCAGTATCAGATTTCATCCGCGTTTCACAGTATTCATCCCCGTTTATTTTTTATCCCGGTGGAGGAAGTCGGCTAGTCTTACCCTTTCCAATAGATGATTAATAAAAGACAAGTGATATTTTTGTAAAAACTTCTTATGCGATTGAAAATCACCAGTAATACTATATTTGATTTTCTCTAGTTGCTAATCATTCTGACGTAATTATTTCGCTTTCCCTCTTTTCCTCCATTTCAGGCTCTCACTGTTAATTAATCTAATAATATACAATCGCCTTCATTATTCTGGCCTTGGTGGAATTATTTAAATTCATATTTCGAGCCAAGGTCGCAATTTATTCATCTCTGGGCTAATTCATTGTTTTCATGCAGTTTTCAGCTTAAGAAGCGATTTTCATCGCAGAACATCGATTTGGACACCTTCACAATCCAGCTCTCAAGGTATAAATACAACTCACGTTTGTCGTGAATAAATTCAATTCGATTTATATATTAAAATCGAGCGTTATATTTTTTTAAACCCCATGACCTCTCATCAAACCCATGGTAGGCAGAAGAAATACAGAAGGAAAACATAGCCCACACCTCCAAAATGTGTTAAATCTCATCCAAATTGAATAGACCATAGGAAGAGTACCATTAGCCTCTTTTTTCTGTGGTATATTTCTTCACAGAACCGGTAAGTAGTGAGATCGCTATGAGATCGCCATCTTCCACGTGATGGATTATATTATGGTATTAATGTCTTAACCAGCGCGATTGAAAAATTTGTGTCGTTGTTGTTAAATAATTGAGTTGATTTGATTTTGTTCTCGGTCGCATGATTTTTCATGGATCGTTCAAGAAGGGTTGGATTATTCAGTATAGGGCTCAACAGCGACGTGCACTTTATGGATTGCTAAGTATCTAAAGACTTTATGCTGCACCGTAATAATTATCATGAGCAATAATTTTCATGATTAATGGATGTCAACGCCGAGTCGATTCAGGCGTTGAGGCGTCTTATAATTTGCCCGGCTCGATTTTCCGCTAAGTGTGCCGAACTCGGGTTTGTTCAATTGGAAGAGCAAGTTCAACTCCTTGTCATCGCCGATGAACTCGACAAATTTCGTATGGCTGCCGTCCACCTAAATGCCGCTGTCACATCTGAGGTACAGGACATTACCTCACATGCACCAGCCCAGACTCATTCGAAGCGCTAAAAAATGCCCTGGTTGAAAGGATAACCGCCTCCCAAGACCCCAGAAGTAGCGACAAATCATACGGCAGTCATCAAATATCACGAGACTGTGCAGACTGCCAACGTGTTACCAAATCATAAAAATAAAATACCTAGCATTTAACTAATTAAAAAACCTAATTCATGTATAAACAATTTTCACTATATTGAACAGGTTGTCGTTTTAGATGTAAAATACCTGGTATTTTATTCGTAATAAACTATATCACGTATTTTACATCAAGTATTTTACATATTAAATAGGTAGATGGGATATACATAGTATTTTACTAGATTCATTTTATGTGGTTCAAATCTTTCTTTCCGACGCCAAAATATTAAATACGTAAACGATCCATTTCTCGTCATTGTAAGTATTCAACTCCCGAGAGTTCTGTGTTATTTAATCTAGTCTTTATAATTTTCTACCTTATTTAATCTAGCCGATTGCACTCTAAGAGATGTAAAATTAATTAAATCATACCTCGATTATATGTCTTACGATCATTCCTAAGAAATCATCATAGATAATGAAACTACGAACTCATGAAAATTGCAATTGAATATTACTTGACTATTTTGCAATAGGGAATGCATTCTTTGCTTAGTGTAACCATTGATGGAATGAAAAATAATTGAGAATGAACTAATTACCCCTTCAGTGATTAGCAATCTCTTACAAACATCGACAATGATCTAAAAAATGGAATGATTTGCGACGAAGTCCTTATTATGATACTTATGCAATAAAAACTGACATAAGAAACAAAGTAAATTTTTCAGCGAAATTCTTGAAGGGACCATTCCAGCATTCTTAATGCGTTAGGTTTCCCATTACACACACACATGCTGCTTGAAAATATCATCGCTCCATTAAACAAAAACTATTTAGTTGTACTAAAATCTGTTGATTGAATTTTTCTAAAATAAATAGATGTTTTTATTCAACAAGGATTCAACACTTTTCTTCAAATCAAAATTAACAACTCCCAGCCACGTATAATACATGAACAATTTCCATAGACTCCATTTCTTTTCTAACAAAATTGCAAGTCTATCTCTTGTCCTCTCTATATTTCGCATCTTTTCATCATAAACAGCATGAACACAACACTTGGACATCTCCATGAATGCAGACATCCTCTTTGATGTCCCGAGTGTGTGCTCAATACTTCTTATTAAATCATTAGTCTTGAGAATTAGCAACATCTGTCGATTGACCCTCTCCAACACTTCACTAATCTGTGGTAACAGATTGGGCACCTCCTTTTGGAACATTTCTTTTTCACCTCTAGTGTATTTTGTTCTCTCCACCCCAGCCATGATAGTGTCCCACGTTCTTCCAGAAACCATGCATGCTAACAGCCCATAAAGATCGTCAACTCCTAAGTCGGTGCAGTATCTTTTCATCCCTTCTTTATCCTTATTGAGGATTGACATCCATAACTTTGAATATTCCCACCTAAACTCATCAGACAGCTCGGCATAGAGACCATGATCGAGGAGAACGATTTCTGTTTCATTCTTTCCATTCTTTTGCACCAGCACGTTTCCGGGATGGGGATCGGAGTGAACAAAACCAGTTACAAAGATCATATGACTGTACAGTTTTCCTAACTTTGAAGTAATCTCGTATGGGTTGATATTATTTTGTTGAATGTAATTGAGATCGTTCACTTGTCCTCCTTCGATAAACTCCATAGTTAGGACTCTAGGAGTCGACAGCGTCCAATAGATTTTAGGCACTTTCAGCCAATTATAGTGGTTGAACATCTTTTGAACCTGTTGATAACATAATGGGCACAATTAGTACATAGTATTATGCATACAATGATGTAAATGAACAGATATAATCACGAGATTCTGAAAATAAAGTAATTTCATCTCAGAATTTTTAATTGTATTTTATCTGCTTGCTAATGCTCTTAAACAGTTTCACACAGTCGAAACCGCACAGATAATAAAACCGAAATCCGACCTGATCCCCGAAATCGGTATATCATGAGCAAGTCCACGGATATAACGAATCAGACCCTTCATTAAGGGGTGAAGCTCAAGTTTCAATACCATCCCAATCCCGTGAAGTACTGCCACGCAGTGAAAAATATCGGGAAAAATGAGCAAAACTATACTGAAAGAAGATGCGCCGGCTGTATTCCTGTAAGTAGGAGAACAATTCACTGTCAGCACCCCCCTCGCAAATTTTCACTAGGAACGACAGAAATTCGATTGACCATTAGTCACAAGGAATCAGAGAGCGTCATAGCTGACTTTGCATACAGCAATGATAGTAACTTTTTTCTATACACCGACAAAATGCAATCTCGGACTGACCCGTTTATGATGACAACAACAATTTCTGATAAGTGAGAAAGAATGACAGTGAATATTTTTCTAGATATTCCATCCGCACCAGCATTGACTTAAATTGACGTGATCACCCCCAGGATATCAATTCCTCACATATGAGAAGCTAATGTAAATGTCAATGTGAAGTAGATGAATATGCAAAATGAAAGGAAAGTTTGTTTCTCTTCAAGGAGCTATCAGTTCTTTTTTTGGCTGTTTAATAAGAGCTGTAAATCGGACGAATCTTGTATGAGTTATACCTTAGCATTATGAAACAGAATACTGGATCAACGGTGAATCTGCACTGAATTTAACATATCGACCATTACCATTATTGAAAAGCAAGTCGGCAATACGATGTGGTTGCTAGACAAATGAGGCGAGAATATTTCTTCAATGACAGTATCAACAGATAAAATTACTTGAAATCAACTGCCAGATCTTATGGAGAACGGCAACTTGTAAACTACCAAGAGACAAAAAATGTGATTCCGGAAAAATAGTGCTCCAACTCCATTCATTGGAGATATAAACAAGCAACCGGCCGTTCTCTGCGGTAGAAGAAATAGGACTATTACTTTGAACGTTATTTGCGTTTTAAATATTCTTTTCCTACCATCTGCATCGTTAGTCGACTTTATACAATAGTTTGACAAAAAAAAGAAAATAAATCCAGTCCTTATTGAGGTCTTGAAAAATCAAGATGTACACACAAAGTCAAAGATCTCTCAAACTACCTGTTCAATTGAGTTTCGATTCAATTTTAGTCGGAGTCATTACAAGATACACAAACGACTTATTATTAAGAATTTTAAGACACCAATGCTTCAAAAATTTCGTCCGAAGGGTACATATGTTTTAATTGTTTGAAATAGCGGGAGTTATCGCGAGGAATATTTTAAAAACAAAAAGAAATACTGTTGAGTATTTGCCGGTATATTCCCAGAAAAGTATAAGCAACCAGATTGTCTTTTCTCAAAAATTATCAAAACGATCCGGGTGATTCAGCAACCAGAGTTAGGCTCAAGTTATGTCAATTAACTAACGGCATTAAATTATTTGAGATGTTTTCGTTCAATTATTTGTAAATTATTAAAAAAAAATGGATCGGGTGTCCACATTTTGTAGGCTTCATGATCATCTGATCTCACGCTTCGAGTTTAAACTGTAGGGTTTCATGAAAGACGTATTTTACACAAATCGATTAGAATGGATCAGAGATGCTATTATACCTCACCGTCAGCTCGACCAGCAAACTTCAAATTCGTTCCAAACGGAATTTGTGACTTTGTAATCTAATGTACTAGTTCGGGACAACCAAATTTAGTTGATAGCAAACATAGCACAAATATAATGTATGTATAAATGCCGAGGTTAAACTCATGGATCACGCTGTTCACGTCAGCTCTAAACCGATCGATTCGGAAAAGACCAATGTTCTGTCATAGTAGTCCCCTAAAACTCCTGACAAGCGCAGCAGCAAAAAAATACAATTGTCTTTACAGAAGTCATCAGAGAACTTGTCTCCAGAATTGAGTTCAGCTGTAGAGTAGTTCGCTGTCAATAATAGTTGACAATTAGTCACAAAGTCAGAAGCAATACCAGTACACTACATCAGTTTTTGGTTCCGAATGGAAGTTATGTATTTGCAATTTTTTCCAATTTATGAATTTTTATTGGGAATGACTAGAACTTTTTTTTTCGTCAAAATTGGCAAAAAGAAAAACATTTTTGCAAATATTTCATAAACAATTGGGTTGACAGAATTTAATCACATGACATTTTATGAAGAAAATCGAATTTACTACAAAAATGTTTCATAGTGTAATGACATGAACCCCATAGCTTATTAAACAGTTCCATTGAAATATTGAATAATTTTTTCAATTATTTAATTAACTATTGCATTCACGTCATTTTCTAATGAAACGGTTTTTGTGGGCAATTCGATTCTCGACATAAAAAAAAACAATAACAAAATCCTGTAAACTCATTCGTTTACAAGATATTTGTAAAAGAATATTTTTTCTCCGCAAGTAATAATCCCAAAAATCAGAGTCATTCCTTTTTCGCTGTAGCGTCATTGGCTGTCCCTTGCACACCAATATCAGAGGGGTGCTTCTGATCGAATTGGAAAAAGTCTTTTCGGTTCAGAATCATCCCCTATGCCGGTTTTAGATCGGCGTGTACTTCTGGGACACCCTGCATAATACTGAGTCTTTTTTTCTAATATACGCAGTTTTGTCCCTGGCGAGTAAGGTGCCCCGCATTTACAGGGCAGTTACGGGGCAGTTACGGGGCAGGCATAGGGCAGCTATTTACGGGTTCAAAAGGCATAAAAGTTATTAAAAAACAAGGTAGGCGTGTATAAATTTATGAAATGGTGATACTTGCAATGTTAATTGCATGGAAAATGATAAATAAATGATGATAATCCCGAACGTCCTTCAACGTGCTCTATAAACGAGACGAGAGAGATAAGGTTGAACGCCAATCGGGTGCGTCCACAGGTGGCGGATAGAGGAACGGCCGACGGAGAAGTGGGGCAGGTTAAGAGCTGGAAACATAGAGGTATGGGACTGGCCCTCGCCGGCCCTGCCGAATTGGCGGTTAGTGTGAGCTATAAGGGAACTGAAGGGCCTAAAAATCTGGAAGGAACCGAAGGCCGCGCCGCAGACAAACTCCCCAAGCCAAGGTGGAAGTGATTCGTGCCGAAGGCTGAATGGCACTGGGGTTACAGTGTTGTTAACGAGACGATTGGGGCACCAGGCCGCATTCCACCGTATTTAGGCCTTACCCCAGTATACCGGCTCTGCTGGGGCTGACCTTTAGTTCCGAGGATACTCGTGGGAACCACATGGGCCCCCCTATTAATAGAAATTTTACCAACGTCAAGGACGGTGCCCTCACAGAGGGAACGTCTGAGACCTTACAGATTGCCCAGGCCGTTACAGTCTCTGATGCTCCAACGGGGGCACAGAAGACTTCGGAAATGGAAGTGGAGACGCTGAAGGTGACTCCTCTCACGGAGGAAGTCGCCAAAGGCGGACCCACGGACCTAAAAAAGCGAAAGGGTCGCACAGGTGCGGAGAAGCGCAGGGCCCGCAAGACCAGAATGGCAACAGGGGACTTGCGGGAACAGTGCTCTCCAACCAACTCGGGAACAGCCAGAGGTGGAGAGGAACGGGGAAATGGGTCCAAAAGACCCAGATCTGATGGAACCACTCTGCCGGAAGACGCTGCGACCCGAAAGAAGCAAAGGGTGAGGGCTGGCCTCGGAGCCACCTCGTTCGGGATGGCGGCAAGCGGTGGCGGCAAGGTAGCAATCATACCAAGCGGCTACCCTGAGCCGTCCCTGACTGAGGCACAGGCCAACCTCGTCCAGGAGAAGCTGGAGGAACTCATCTTCGGGGTGATGTCGAAGGGCATCCCCCGGGTTTTGAGGGCCACCGCTACGACCAGGGTGTGCTTTGGGTGACGTGTACCGACGGCCGGTCGAAAGACTGGCTGAAGGGCGCGGTGCCCAAACTAGCGCCCTGGGAAGGGGCCTCTCTCACGGTAATGGAGAAGGATGCGCTCCCAAAGGATGCGCTCCCTTTCAGGGGGACCAACGCAAGGGCTAGGGGAGATCATACTCTCTAACGGGGAGATCATCACACAGCCCAGCGACATCCTGGAACATCTGATCCAAGTGCACTTCCCGGACTCTAACTTACAGAGGGGGGACTCGCGCACGGGGACGCTTCTGGAGCAAACAGGGAGGAATGGCCCATACTGGCCCCTAGCCTCGGAAATAATCACGATGGAGGGCCTGAAGTGGGCTGTGGACTCCTTCGACATGTATAAGAGCCCGGGCCCCGATGGAATATATCCGGGGCTCCTGGAAAGGGGGGGTCCGCAGCTCCTGCACAGGCTGCTGCCAATACTAAGAGCAAGTCTTGCTCTTGGGCACGTGCCCTATAAATGGCGGGAGGTCAGGGTTGTCTTTATCCCCAAACCGGGTAAGTGCAGCTACGACAACGCCAAATCCTTCAGGGCTATCAGTCTGAGCTCTTTTCTCCTAAAAACATTGGAGAGGCTCGTTGACAGGCACATCAAAATGGGAGCTCTGAGGACCAATCCGATCAGCCTCTCTCAGCACGCTTACCAGGTCGGCAGGTCAACGGAGCCCATCATTAGATGGATAGCTGCTATGCTCCGAGCGATTCGAATTCCTCCCTTCATCGTTTTATACATTTGTCTTTTGACATTTTTCGATTAACGTGTTGGTCATTTTGAATGAGGGGTAGTGAAGGGTGAAAATGGGGTTGAATTTTATAGGGATAGTTCGATTCGAATTTCCCCCTAAATCGATTTATACATTTATATCTTGACATTTTTCGATGACCGTGTCGATCATTTTGAATGAGCGGTAGTGAGGGGTGAAAATGGGG